GCCCCCGCGGTCCGGTCTGTGACCAGGCCTCATGGTGGATCAGGGCCTGATCAACCTTAATGCAAATTATATATCTCATCCTGTTTATTCTTCGGATTGTTTAACTCTATATTTTATGCGTCTTGGTGTTTTACTACTTTCAGAATACTTTGTTTTGCCTTCCGTTGATTTTTTTTTTCGTGCGTTTGAAAATGTTCCGGACTGTGCGCAAATTTTCTCGTGTGCGAGAAAAACAAATATGTCCAACGTGTGAAAAACTGCTTATGCGCTGGAAAATTTCCCCGTACATTTAAAAAACAATCCTGTGCATGCGAAAATTTTCTCGTGCGTGCGAAATTTTCGTGCCAGACAAAATCCCCTCTATCGCGTGTGACTTGGGGCGTCGCCGCTGTAATGAGCGACATTATCAATCAGTAAATATTATTATTATTATTATTATTATTATTAAATTCATGGGGAGGCGCTAAGCCCGCAGTAGTCAAACAACGCCTAGGGCATGAGAGTTAATCAAGTATGGTCCGAAGAAGAGGAAGGGAGCTGCAGTTCCCTGGATTAGGAGCTCTTTACCAGCATAAATTTACACCATTTGAAAGGGTATATTTACCGTTACCGTTATGTCAATGTTTCTGCACCTTTCAGATAAAATTAGTCTTTTGCTCGCTATTTCCGTCACCTGAAGAGATAAATTTATTGCATGGTCTTTATTTTTCATGTTAGATGAGAAAGTGTAGACACATCGTTAGTTTCGACTATGGACGCTGAAAAACTTTCGCTATGGAAGTAAGTCCTATGGCCGGAGAAATGTTAAAAATAGGGAATGCTACTACTGCTAGCTAAGTACTTTCTAACGCTGAGAATGTATTTTTAAAAATTCCTCTAGGCGGACGTTTTGCACCATATATATGCAATAAGATCACAGTTAACAGGTGATTTCAGAATATGCAAAACAACCACTGTGAAAGAATAGTGAAATTCCAAGCGCTATCGTGACTTCTCACATTATCAAGGAACATAGTTCTTTGATAATGTGAAAAGTCACGAAAGAGCTTGGAATTTCACTATTCATTCACAGTGGCTGTTTTGCATATATATATATAATATATATATATATATATATATATATATATATATATATATATATATATATATATATATATGCAATAAGATCACAGTAAACAGGTGATTTCAAAATATGCAAAACAACCACTCTGAAAGAATAGAGAAATTCCAAGCGCTTTCGTGGCTACTCACATTATCAAGGAACTATGAAAGTAAAGCATCCAAGAAAGCTATATAAGGGGACTGGCCAGCACCTCACTATCAGATCCCACAAAGGTTAAACACGTGACGCGCGCCGACCCAACTTGGATAGGTCCTTTGCACAACTCACCCACAAACTATTCTACCCAAGAAAATTTAAAAATTATTATATGTCCAGTGTATTATTAAATTCTTCCCAAATTCTATTAATTATAAATGGATCTAATTTATATAAACCAAAGGAAATATTCATATTATTGTCAAAACTGCTTTTTATGAAACAAGATTCAATTATATTCCTGTCGACCATGGACTTGCTTGATACTACTTTCTCAACTTTTTGAAAATCAATTGGATGGTTAAAATCTCTTACATGAATAAATAGAGCATTGGAATCTTGTCCAGTTCTAATGCTATATTTATGTTGTTTTAATCTTAGTTCGAGATTTTTACCAGTTTGACCGTAATAAACTTTATCGCAAATTTTACAAGGAATCTTATAGACACATCCATCAGCATTTTGGGGGAATTCTTTATCAAAAGTTTTTTTACTGTATCAAGATTTTTGAATACAACTTTAATATTAAAAGTCTTAAGAAGAGAAGGCATGTCAACCAAGTTTTCATGGTAAGGGAGAACCAACATATTTTTAGTTGAATAAGGCTGGTTGTCCCTTTTTGGATTGTAAAAAGTGTTTCTAGCAACTTTAAAAGATTTATCAATTACATTTCTTGGGTATTTTAAATCATTACCTATTTCATAAATTTCGGATATTTCCTCATCTATGAACTCAGGACTACAAATTCGTAAAGCTCTCAAAAACATTGATGAGAAAACAGACAGTTTGACTCTATCTTGATGCGAGGAATATACACCATTTCCTTGGAAAATTAAATAGCTTAGCCCATTCTATAAACTTTACTGTTGAGTTTGAAGAAAATAACTCATTGCCTTTTCTAGATGTTTTAATTATTAAGGATAATAATGAATTCAAATTTAAAATTTACAAAAAAAAACTACAAATAACTGTTCCTATGTCCACTATTATTCCTCGCATCAAGATAGAGTCAAACTGTCTCTTTTCTCATCAATGTTTTTGAGAGCTTTACGAATTTGTAGTCCTGAGTTCATAGATGAGGAAATATCCAAAATTTATGAAATAGGTAATGATTTAAAATACCCAAGAAATGTAATTGATAAATCTTTTAAAGTTGCTAGAAACACTTTTTACAATCCAAAAAGGGACAACCAGCCTTATTCAACTAAAAATATGTTGGTTCTCCCTTACCATGAAAACTTGGTTGATATGCCTTCTCTTCTTAAGACTTTTAATATTAAAGTTGTATTCAAAAATCTTGATACAGTAAAAAAACTTTGATAAAGAATTCCCCCCAAAATGCTGATGGATGTGTCTATAAGATTCCTTGTAAAATTTGCGATAAAGTTTATTACGGTCAAACTGGTAAAAATCTCGAACTAAGATTAAAACAACATAAATATAGCATTAGAACTGGACAAGATTCCAATGCTCTATTTATTCATGTAAGAGATTTTAACCATCCAATTGATTTTCAAAAAGTTGAGAAAGTAGTATCAAGCAAGTCCATGGTCGACAGGAATATAATTGAATCTTGTTTCATAAAAAGCAGTTTTGACAATAATATGAATATTTCCTTTGGTTTATATAAATTAGATCCATTTATAATTAATAGAATTTGGGAAGAATTTAATAATACACTGGACAAATAAATTTTTAAATTTTCTTGGGTAGAATAGTTTGTGGGTGAGTTGTGCAAAGGACCTATCCAAGTTGGGTCGGCGCGCGTCACGTGTTTAACCGTTGTGGGATCTGATAGTGAGGTACTGGCCAGACCCCTTATATAGCTTCCTTGGATGCTTTACTTTCATAGTTCCTTGATAATGTGAGTAGCCACGAAAGCGCTTGGAATTTCTCTATTCTTTCAGAGTGGTTGTTTTGCATATATATATATATATATATATATATATATATATATATATATATATATATATATATATATATATATATATATATATATATTATATATAAAGCTACTATGAAACAAAGACAAGGAACCAATAAATCTGACCGTATTAGAGATATTACCTGACCTCCTGTGATATGATAAACAATGGCTACCACCTGTCCTTCAATATGACGAAGAATGGCTAATACCTGATCTCAAATGATTTGACCCTGGAGAATTTAAGAAACACGGGTTTCCTTTGTAACAACGCAGGTGTTCTGCCTTTTGGCAAGATAATTAATGATTTGTTGAAATCAAATTCTCCTTCAGATGTGTTAATGTTGTACTTGATGCAATAAGTTAGATTCAGTAATATGTGTCTTATATATAACTGTCAGATCTGAACAACAATTTACAATTATATAGATCTACATTGTTGTCACAATCACGTACATGACAGAGCGCACCTCTGCTTAATATCCCCATTCTAACTTTGCATTGAGTTTATTCCCACACTTGTTCAAACATTTTTCTGTTTCTCGCACATATAGTTTTTTCAAAACACTGCTTGCAAGGCAGCAAAGACAGGGAGTTGTCAACGTTTTCATGACGTTTAGTTTTCACTTTTAAGCCGTAGGGGTCATATAGAGCTGGGGGAATGAGAAAGGCAATCAGGTTCAATTCGAGGTGGGGAAGGGTATAATTCTTTGGATCAAGAGCCCTTCACTGGCATTAAGATACCCCTTAAAGGGACCCTAAGCAATAAAATTAAATAAAGGAAATACGCAACAAACTTGGTATATTAACATCTGTCTTCCAAGATATATTTCACTGAAAAAACAAGCCTCCTTATCGTGTAAATTCAAATACGATTCATCTCCCACTCACTTCCAAGGCCGGATTTATACATTAACTATCTGAACAACAGTTTAGAGCCTCACGATACGAGAAGCCTCAGTTTTTCTCCCTCCCTATTTTACTTTTACTTCGACTCTCGATTTTATTGGACCTCTAAAACCTGACAATGCTTAGGGACTCAGAAGGTCAAAGTCGGGCCCTGGCCAATGGTTATCACCCTTTTCTCTTTGGATTTAGACTGTTTGTATTATTGCTATAACTGGTTAATATCTTTGTGCCCAGTTATTTTGAATCCATTAAAAATTAAAGCTGATAATATGCGAGTACAAATTTGTTCGCATAATCATAAATAGCGTAATAAGTGTGTATATTTTTAATAAAATATTAAATCAAAACGACAGGTGGAATACTCTCTCTGAGTGAGAGGAAGTGGGGGAAGTCGGGGGAATAACAAGTCTCAACCGGGGTTGAAATATTTATTTCAATATTGAGGAAGTAGAGTCAGTAATGCTGAGAAAGTAGAGGCAGTAATTTTGTGGAATTAGAGGCAGTAGTATGTCAGAACAATGGGTGCCTGAGTCAGTAACAAGTGTACAATATATTCATGAGGGAATGCCAACCCCATGAAGGTCATACTGCGCTTGGGAAATTGGGGGCAACCAGGTTTGATCCGAGAAATGTTTAGGATAGCTCTAATTTCTCCCACTGTGAAGAGTGCAATGTTCTTTGTAATATCGAGGTCGAGAAGTCATGCGTCAAGCGGTGGCTGTAAGGAGAGGTGTTATACTCACCGTGGATGCAAGGAAGTAGGGGTAGCAATGAGTCAGAAATGTTATACTCACCTGTGATTTGTGGTAATAGGGGCAAATGAGCAAAAAATAGGCGTGTAATACTCACTGTGGTTGTCGAGGAAGTCGGGCGAGTATCTGGCAGTGGGCGGCGGGGGCGGTGCTGGATAGTGACCGCCCAGTCTGCTAGCCAGGCCGCCCACAGGGTCTGATAGCGGCGGCAGCGGAGAGGTAAAGAGAAAAAGAAAACACAGTTGAGTACAAAGGCAAATATCATACAATAATCATCAGTTATGTGCAACTTACACAGCAGGTTCTACACCAGTGCAGAACTTGTTCACGTTAAGTTCAAGAACGATGTGGGACGATTGGAATTCTCTGTAAAATTGATTATACTTTTTGTAACATTATCTGTCAAGTAATTAATTAATTAATCTATCTATTAATAAATGACAGCAACGTTTTATTGCACCGTATCTCTGTCTTTTTTACATTACTGTCGGCAGGGCTCCTTTGTATTTAACTAAGTTATCTAACAAAGATACAACAACGCAAAGCCTAATCCACAACGCTCATCTTAATGCATATCAAGAGCTGTAAATTCCCAGTAATACATTACACTGTAGATTTTATTAGTAAATTTATTTTGTTAAAAGTTTCCACTGAGGCAAACAGCCGGTAAAATCCAAAGGACACGTGACACGCCCTACCAGCTGATAACTTATTATTAACGGGGAAACGCCAAACCGTAGGGGATCACACGACGCCTGAGGAATAGGAGGCAGTCTGATTTGATCAGTTCCTTAGAATAGGAGCCCTTCATCAGAAATAATTTATCCCCCTCCCACTGAAAGGACCAGGAGAGATGTACATCATTTGCATCAAGCTGAGAGGTGACTAAGTTTAAAGGTATTACTGCCACTGTACCGTTTAATTTAAAGCAAATCCGAAATTACTTGTGGATTATTAAAATCCATTTGAACGTCATTATCAGGGCGCCTAATTTACTGATTTACTTCTTTTAGCCTGTGAATAAAATATTTGCAATTAGGAGACACCTTTATACCCGTTGTCTCTTTGTCCATTACATTATAATAAATACGAAAGCTTGAACAACCTGAAGATTTACGGGAAAATGGGTTCTTCTCGCGTAAGGAAAAGCCACCACTCATATTGTACATTTCAAGGCACAAATACACAGCACAGCAAACAAAGACAATCGACATATACTGACAACTAATACAGTCGTCCTGTTTAGGGAACAAATACTCTCGACCGATACATTCAATAGACACAGCTGAAAAGTACAGCTGATACATACAACCGACAGGTAGAGTCCATACATACAGCGACAAATTCAATCGAAACATACAGTCTAAAAATATAGTCTACATATACGGTAGAGAGATATTTGACAAAACTGAAGACAAATATATTGGAGTAGACAGGAGGAGACAGGGACTCACCTGTGACAGGAGAAGACAGGGGCAACGGTAGTTTAGGCTTGTTGTCCCCGCTCATGTTGTTGTTATTGTTGTTGTTACTGTTGTTGTTGTTGTTGTTGTTGTGGGCGTGGTGGGCGTGAAAAAGGGAGGGAGGGAGGCCAGCGAGACCCAGGAGGGGGTGAGGGGCTGCCGCGGTGGAAGAAGAGGAAGAGGAGGAGGAGGAGTTTGAGGAAGAGGAAGGCGGCAGCGGTGAGGAGTTAGTAGAACCTGGGAAAAACCAATACTGATTATTATTATTATTATTATTATTATTATTATTATTATTATTATTATTATTATTATATTATTGAGGCACCTAGACATTTTTTTTTCCAATTAAGTGTGTGTGTGTGTGTGTGTGTGTGTGTGTGTGTGTGTGTGTGTGTGTGTGTGTGTGTATGTGTGTGTGTGTGTGTGTGTGTGTGTTACAATTCAGAGACAACTCTTTTAAATTAAGGATACAATATATTTTCAAGTGTGTCTTGTTTTTTCACTCCTATTCGCTTTCTCTCCCTAGAAGTATTTCCCTTCTCTTTCTTCTCCATCCCCCCTCTCTTCTTTTTCCCTAAACCTACGTACTTTCCTCTCTCTCTCTCTCGTTCTCACATTAAACAGCAAAAACAACTCAACAGCATCGCTTCACTACATAATTTTCAGCTCCACTCCAAAAATATATTAAACAGAAGATAACAAGTCAAACTGTTTAAGGAACCAAACGAAGATTGAAACTTCATCCAGCTTAAATGTTGGATGCTGAACATCGGTGTGAATCGACGTCTGACGTAATGAATAAAGGGGAAAGTAAGATTTAGAGTGATACACATACAAGAGATATTCGAAACTTTATTATTATTATTATTATTATTATTATTATTATTATTATTATTATTATTACTAATGCTTATGCTTATCAAAATTGATTTTACTGCCTCTCAGTCGTTTCTCAACCTCTATTATTATTATTATTATTATTATTATTATTATTATTATTATTATTATTATTATTATTATTATTATTATTATATGGTTGATCAATAAGAATCCGCTAGTATTGACTGTTATTTTATCAATAGTATTTGATAACATAAAAAACTCTAGGAGAAAGCTGATACTTGTGATACTTGG